TTCTCTGCTTATTGTTTGCGTCCTGTTGGAAAAGCAGGTTAGTTGCATAGTAAATCTCTCTAATCAACACAGGAGAAGAACAAAAAGAACAATCACCCTCATTTGTTATAGCTACTTTAGAAGCTGGTCATTTGAAGGATGTATTCTGGGAGATTTGTCCCTTTTCTTCAGAAAGGCTTGTTAATATGGGCATAACTAACCAGGCATCTCAGGAGAGGACAAAGGCACTCTCATTAAAATCAGCTGTAAAAACAACTTACAAAGCACATATCTGTCATAATGATGCTTCTGTTGTCTCTCCCTGTAACATCTAAGCAATACTTCCCATAAAGCACATAAGACTTAAAGTGTGTACCAAAGGAAAGAGACTGGTTTCTGAATTTGGATGCTCTCTCTGTGCCTGTTTGTATTCAGATCCAGTGTATTCTGTTGTCCTTCTCCTTCCCTTCCCTCCCTCCAAATGAAAGCTCACCTCCATTTGGAGCCATCCCCAGTCAGACCTTTTCCTTGCTGTAACAGAGAAATTCATACTGTAGTGGATATATAAAAATACTGCTGGATGACAAGCTATAAATGTGTGTACAGACTCCTGGTGAGATACTGCTGCAGTGTTTAATGCATTTATTAACCATGTAGTGCTGTGATTTGCAGAAGCTGGATGCATAATTACAAGATAGCATTTCTGGGCATAAATTCAGGGCTATAGAATGCAAAGGATGGAGGTAGAGGGATTTGGGGGATGGAAAGCAGAATGTTACTAGGTTTAGGAGGATCCTATGATAGTTATTAGGTGCAGGGCAGGAGAAGACTAGTTAGGGTGTGTATGAGCAAGGACATATGATTTAACTCATCTGTGATGCATCGGGGTCAGAAGGAAATACAGAGGTCCACAGAGTCTTCTGAAGGAGAAACATCTCTATAAGCAATATTCCTTTCTCCTTTCAGAAAACCACTAGCTCTTCTGCTGGTCCTGATTTACCTTTCTTTCTAGGAAAGAAATAAGTAAAATTTTCCCTCTCATCATGAGAGATTTTTTGTTTTCTGGACATGCAGTTGGTTTCTCTACCAGCCCTTGACCAAGTCTAATATTTTAGTATTTTAGTTCTAATATTAAAAGCTAAAGATTAATATTTTAATATTTTAGTTCTAATATTAAAACCTAAAGATTGCAAGACCAAAACAAGGCTGGTGTGGGACTAACAGACAGGGTACTGAAGTCATCAGGAGGTGCATGAATACAGTTATCTCTAAATATCATCTGTTGCTTGTGCTACTACAGTGAGAAGATTCTCTGGAAAAGCAGGTATTTGTTTTTACAAAATATAAAAGCTTCTGTGAGTTCAAGCCTGTTGGCAATATGGAAGCAGCTTCACCAGAGTAGCTCACACTGCTGAATTATACTTCCCTGCAAAGCTGGAGTGTCAGCTCATCTTACGTAACTTTGTTTTATAGTCTGAGGCGTGTCACAGCTCAGTATATAAGTCATTAGGAAATGCTGTTTTACCTCAGTAGAAAAGAACTCATAGCTCCTTCCGTACACTTAGCCACTTAAAGCTGATTTTCTTTCACTGTTTTTTTAATTATTATTATCAGCCCAGCACTTCTTGGTTTTTTTTTTATTTAATGATGGAATCCCCACAGATCTTTTTGTCACCAGGTAACAGCTTTATATGAAAATTCAAAAAAAATACAAGTTTGAATACAGGCAACTTAGCCATTTGTGTGTGCTGTTTTACTCCTGTGGAGTTAGGTACTTGTAGAACCTTGAAGGTACCTTCTTGCCTGCTTGTTAGGCAAGTAGGATACCTGCACTGGGGATTGGCCGTGAATCTTTGGCATCTTGCATAGCGTACAACTCATTTCCCAAATTTATTGGTGATGTAGATATTCCTTGTCAGAACTGTCTGCAGCTGTGTGTGATAGACAGTCACTTCTATTGTTTAAATTTTTTAAGATAATGGAAGATGTTATAAAGTAAATAATCCAACAGCCGAGGATATCCTCTGTTATTCAAATGCATGTCTCCTAGTCTGGATGTATTTCCCCTAAGGCTGTCAGCATAACCTCCAAGCCATGTTTTTTTCTTTTTGCTTCTGATAAGCTTTTCACTTAGTGTAGCACATATAGGGCAGTTCTGCTACAGGTAGAGTTGTTTTTGCCTGAGAGCAGGGCAGGAAAGTTTGTAAGTAAAGGACATACACTTTCTACAGCACTCTCTTCAACATGTGGGTTTGGGTTTTTTTTCCCATAACTTGTGATTTAGTGATGCACTGTTGTATTACAGTAGTGCAGCCTATGCCAGTATTTCCATTATAACCCATTTTTAAAGGTTTATAACTCAACACTAAAAATGTACTCTTCCAATTTGAAACTTGGCAGATAATGTCTCATCTCAGCCTCAAAATGACAGTTTTTTCTTTCCCTTTTCCTCCCCCCCCCAAAAAGGTTGCAGTTTTGCTGTATTTTTAAATAGAAGATACTGTCCTTTCTGCTTTGATAAGAGAAAAGCCTACCTGATTATTAAAATTGCTTTTCAAATCTAAGAGAGGAGGTCGTTATAATAGAAGATGCATTGAATAAGTGTTGTTGATGTTACAATGTCTACAATAAGTACATGGATACAGAGAAGTATCACCTTCCAGATGAAAGCTAGGGAATGTTGATCAAAATGATTGAAAAGCTTCTTTTACGGTGATTTTTTTCCTACCTGTTGATTTTACCCTTAAAATAGTATTCTCAAAGGTAAATATGTGTTAGCTGCTGCACTCTATTGTTTATCAGGCTGAATGAAGTAAAGGAACACTTTACTGCATATAAGCAAAATAATTATATTTCTATCTTTTCTCATTTGATAAACGCAGTACAAAAGGAGTATAAATTCTAACTTCGGTGTTGAGTCCAACTACCATGTGTAAACAGTGCTATGAATCCAAAGCAGGCATAAGCAGCAAAGCACAGTGTTCCCAATGAACAGACACTTGTGTGGAGTAGGAAATTTAGCACTGAATGACAAACCAAGATATAGGAAGCTTGTATGATCCTTAGAGTTAACACTGTCAAGATCTGAGCCTCTGAATCTGAAGCTTTGTCGGAAGCCTCACATTCCAATTCAAGGCAGGGTGTTCAGGACATCAGAAAATCAGGATTTAAATCTCATTTCTCCTTCTTTACCCCTCTCCTTGGACCCAGCCATGTAGGAGTTGAAATCTACCCAGCTGATTTTAAAGGAAGTTTCCTAACCAGTGCAAATGCAACCAGTACTACAAACACGGCAGGAAGGCTTTACTGGGATGCTTCCTCTTGTTGCAATTCTACTTCTAGGGGTTTCTTCTTCTATTTAGACCGTTAAATTTATGCTTACCATAACCACTTTAATGGTACTAATTAGTAGAAAAAAGGAAATTCTACAGAGTGTGTTAATGAATCGAGCTATTATTTTGTCATATGTATAAAAACTATCAACATATATACAGTATGTATTCTTACTATAGCTAAGTTGTCTTTCTCTTAAATCCCATCTGCTTCACTTTTTCAGTTGTCTCTAATATATTTATGTATCATTAAAACCAGAGAATGTGTTTCCTAATGAGAAGTTCAGTTCCTTCATTTGAATTCTAAAATCAGTAATTAGGTCAAAGATTATTTTGTGTCCATTGGCAGAACCAGTGGCTCTCAGATATAAAATAAAATAGCTGTATGTGAAAATGAATTTTTTGAGGGCATAAAATCAGAATGCTCAAGCACTTTCTCACATCAACTTTAGTGATGACTTCCAGTCCATCAGTGCCAAAACCAGGGAGATTCTTCAGTGTAAAATGAATGCAACACAGTGAGATTCAGATCTTCATTTCTTGCAGAAAATAAGATGCAAGTCCAGCAGAGCTTCCAGGTGGAAGTATCAGATGTGTCCAGTGCAGTCAGTAGTTTCGGTGTGTAAACCCAGGTCTTCTGTTACAAGACTTGACTTACATTGAACACCGTTAGCTCCTATAAAAGGGTGCTGTTTATGTTTCTGGAATATACAAAGAAAGAACTGATATTGAGAATCACTGAAGTGCTTAAGTCAACCATTTATTTAACAGCACCATTTATTTAAAATATCTTCCACAGCACGGGGATTAGTCTTGCTCCTGTAGAAAAGCAGAAAGCGCCCAGCCCAGTCCTGTTCACTTGAAATATTGGAAATATTAAACACCTTCTGACACTAGACAGAGTGCACATTATTGCTTTCATTTTGTATGATGCCACCTGAAATGTTTCTTACTTGAGTCAGTGTGGAGAGCACACAGTAATAGCAAAAGATGGTTGTTCATCATAAGACATGGCTGAATTTATAGCAGATTAATATTTTTAATTCTTGATCATCTAAAATATTCCTGCACTTAGTTTAATATTCTGTGTATGATAATCAGCAAACACAATATAAGCAAACAGTTCAATTTGACTTAGAGGTATATATGTTAAAAGACACTAAATGTTCTTTTTGTAATGTCATAGAAGAGGCTCTCTGGCAGCCATGAAATATATTAAAATCATATTTCTATTTTTATAGTAATACTTGGAAAAATTGAAAGAATCATTAAGGATAAAATACTCCTATGTTGTATATTTTCCTAAAACTGAGGCATATGATAGATTATTTTTTAATATGAAGTGGTATTATGGTAATTATTAACTGTCATATTTCATTTCTTCTCATGAACATCCAGCACCATTTTTAAGGGACCACAGAAGATAACATGTTCTCTGCAGCTGATGACACTCATCATTGTCATTACTGAGTACCCTTAGTTGACTGTTTGAAATTTTGTTGTAAATTCAAATGAGAATGTGAATGTTATTGGAAAACATGCAGTTACATTTGGAGAGTTCATTTGTTAATCGTGTGCAAATCACTGTCGAAATTATAGGAGTATGACAGCCCATGTGAATTTATCTAAGTGTTTTGTGCTGCTGTATGCATAAATTGTACAGGGAATAAATTCTGCATTTGTTCATAGGCACAGAAGAAGCGAAAATCCAATGAATCTGTAGATACAGAGCTCTGTCTTAATGAGGTAAGAGTGTTGATCCTATATATTTCACAGCACAGGTGTCTCTCCATAATATAAGATTTCCAAGTCTGTCAAGATTATCATGAGTTACCTCATATTTGTCTTGTCAGTTTTGTTATGTTTGGATACCATAATGTATTAAAGAATAACCTTACTCAGAAGTTCAGAACTGGGCTCAAAGTGTCCTCTGCTGACTTTTATATTTTAATAGCTGTACAGTGCACGTGTAGTCAGATCCCATAATAATAACCATTGCACCTAGCAAGTGTACTTGTTTAGTCATCTGCAGGAGTGCAAGATCAGATGGGTTTTAGCAAATAATCAGAAACAAACTGGTCATCATTCTGTGGTTAAAACAAATGACCAATTTAGGGAATTAAATTATATTCATATCAGGAGATGTGTTGCTTATACATCAGGGAACAGATTGACAGACTCAAGACATGAAACTCCCAGTGCTGTTGGAGTAGTCTGCTCAGCCTGACCTCAAAGGCCCCTCTCAGACATAAGCATTACATCAGTTTCCACGTCTGTCAGTCCGTATCCTTTGTACCTAGTCTCTCAGGAAGCTTAATAATTAGTGAGGTATGTAATTTTTACAATGTGGAAACACGTAGCCTAGGCTTTGGAACAAGACCAGCTGTACAGCCATAAGCCACCAAAAGGATGTGACAGTATCTTTCAGGTTCTTCTTCACCAGTCCAAATTTGCCCAGTTCTTCTACACAATGGAAATTCTATAGCCCATTCCTAATTCTTTAGGTTCTATTAAGAATTTCTTGTAGGTACTAGAATGAAACCTAGTAACACGTATGGGAACAGTGCAGTAATGTTAACACATCTGTTGGCATCTTGTGCTGGCTAAAAGACCTTACATGAGAAGGCTCAAGTAACTGTAGCTAACTATGAGAACTGCTGGTCATACCCTGTTCCCGACAGTTTCCAAAAAGGAGATGCCCAGGGATGAGTAAAAGAAAGCATATTGTGATAATCCCCCAATGCCTCTACAACTTCCAAAACTTTGCATCTCAAAGTGTTCCAGTTAACCAGTCCTAGCAAGTGATACCCAGGTGAGGGAATGGCATGGAGATTTATCCATGAATACCTCCCTGGCTCTGTAGACAGTCATTCCTGTGGAAACTGATGCTTTGAACTCCTTCTTTGTATCTGGTCTTCTGGGTACTTGTCCCTTGAACCATGGCCCATTGCCTCTCCAGGGTTGGAGAGGCTTGTCCCCTCTTTAGAAGCTGTATCCTTGGGGATTTTTGCATCCTTGGGGATTTTCACATCCTGAGTGGACAGGGTCTGAGCCACTTCACATGGAATAGGTTGGACTTCATGATCTTAGAGGTCCCTTTAGTCTAAATTGTTCCACTTCTGTGATTATACCTGTTAGGTTTTCTTTTTTACTGAGGATGATAGCAATGAGAAATATTTCTGCTACATCTGCTCCTTAAGCAGTTCACTATAATCTGCCAATCTGTACTGGCATGTGCATACTGTTTAATTATTGGTAGCAAAGATGCCAAGGAATGCAAATAATGGAGCAATTAAGGGGAAAAAGAAAATTTTTGTAAGCTAGAAAACAGTCTTTTCTGAGCCCATGAATTAGATTTTATTTATTGTTATCCAGAAGTAACTTGTTGTCAAACAAAGTTGTTCTGTTGACTGTGCAGAAGTTGAAGTTTCTCTGCAGGTCCTGCTTCTGCTATTTTAAAATAAACTAGCATGATAAACACAGATTCACAAAAATTACCATACATTTTATGCATTGAAACATTGTTAAAGTAGTAGTTTTTTTAAATTTCAAAAAAATTGTCATTTTGACATCTGTTTTAATGCCTTTCAATTAGTGACATTGATTTATATAGGTATCAGTGGAGGGTGGGACATGAACAAACATACAATCTATGATGTAGATTTAAATGTTTTGCAGTGGAAATGTGTAATGGTGACCAAGGAAAGTATTGTGTCTTACAGAATGCTATTGGGAAGGACAACACAGCAGGAGTCTCCACCAGTCACATATCTGCAGAGAATTCACTCGCTCTTCCTACAAGCTTCTATCTAAGCACACAGCTCACCCTGATGACACTTGCACTCTCACTCTGTTTGTCCCTAAGCTCATCAGTCGTCTTGTAGCTGCATTACGTTACAAAAGGACGTGTAAAAAAAAAAAAATCTGTTTGCTGTCCTCTGTTGTTTATCTGGAATTCCAGGTCTGGGAGCTAAGCTGAGGCAAACCTGTTAGAACAGTCTCAGTCAGCTGGAATTTTACTTTTTTTTCTCTAAAAAAAGCTTCTTGTGATATTTAGAGGCTTTGTGAAATACTTGGTGCAGTGCTACATTCCAAACCCAAAAGGCTTTTGGGCATGCAGTGTTTTAAAGAGACAGTGTGTAAATTTGCCTGTAAAGCGACCTGGTTGGATTATTTTAATAATTATTGTTTTAATTCTGGCTTTTATCTGAGAAGGAAGATGGCAGTTTTCTTAAGATCTTGTTTATCTCATTGAATGGTTTTGGTTTTCAAAGTGGTTGAACTTCAGACTATCAAGGATGCCAGGCTTTTGTCTAATGGTGAATGTTCTCCCAGAGAGTGGACTTTATGAAACTTCTTCATTTGATAAATCGCTACTGATGTTAAACTCTTTCAGTGTGTTAGCATTTTCCTCTTTAAATGTTTACGTACTGTAAGTGATTCTGCGTTCCCTGCTGAGAAGCCATTATAATTCACATACAGGTATAATGTATGTCTTTCAGTTAAATTCTCATAAAAATAGAGTGTGGCGTAGAACCTTCTAACAGTACATTTATCTTTTAATTATAATCATCTAGCCTTAACAAGAGTGAAGATTCTTTAAATTAGCAAGAAGCAGCCATTGTGAAAGCTTGATAAAGATACATTTCTTTAAATATGAGGAACAATTTTGCTACAGGGTTTCAGCTGTACAGTCTATGGTCTTCTATGCTTCCATTGTGATAATATAGTCCAGTTATTATACTGTTTGTTTAATAAAAAAATGGCATACAATTTATTTGCTCTACTAAAACATCGTTATCTGTTTATACATACTTGATAATGTCAGATCAAAAAGTTACAGGAACTTCATGCCTTACTTCTCTTATCAAAACATTGTAGAGGGACAAGAGGTAGTAGGATATTTTTAAAATTGTGGTTTATTTCTTACACTGCTAAAATCAACACAAAAAATGGTTGACCCAGTTACAAGGCAGCGCCATGCACACACACCCATGTGACACGATTTTCTCACTGTGGTAGTTCCTACTACAGACCTTGGCATTGCTGACATGATGAACTGTTTGCAAGACCAGTCCCATAAATTAATTTGGTGGTTTGGATGGCAATATTGCCAATATACATGGTTTAATCTCTTGGTTCTAACTCAGTGACACTGGCAGCCTGTGCTGGCTCATGATGATTTCCTGCAGTATCGAGAAGGAGTTCTTTAAAGCTTTAAATGTCAGGAAATAGTCAGCATTTCTCCTAAGGGCTGTCTTTATACCTTACTGTGATGGCTTGTTGACTGTTACAAGCAGTTATGTCTAAGTGATCAGCAGTAATCAGTTTTTGTTTCTATTGGAAGTAGAAGATAACTTCTCAAGCAAGGAGTTCATCATGTTGAATGTACGGATTTACGTTGAGACTTACACAGTTATGGCCTGTCCTGCTCTGAAATGTCCAGATCACTTATTTGCAATACAACTATAAAGTACAAATTACTGTTTTATAAACTGCATTGAAGTTTTGGAGTGTGCAAAATACACATCTTACTAAGAGATTATTAAACTTATTGTCAAGTTCATCTTTTGAGATTTTTTTCTTAGCTAATAATAAACACTTTCATAAATTTTGAAATTCATTTATGTACTTTTGATTATGGTCACGTAATATACATCTCAAAGCGATGTGTATGGGATAGAATTCTACGATACTCTGTGTCACTGAACATAAAAAATTAGACAATATTACTCTTTAATTCTGTGTTGGTAAGAAACTGCAAATTACTTTCAAAGGGAACAGAGCTGCTTTCAGAGAAGAGATATATAGCCCATCATTACCAGCAAAGCCCATGTGGTTCCTGTTGCTCTTCTTGTAGAAGAGAATGAAATTATTGAAAACTAGTGGTAGCAGAAAAAAGATTACGAGAGTCATGATTTAAAAAATGAATCAAATTCGTTTATGTCAAAAGGAGTTGATAGTATAATCTATTGAAATACTAATGAACATTGTATTAGAATTCAAAAGTCTGACATTATCCAATTAAAAATATTTTCAAAACCAATTCATAAACATTACAATTACTAAATCCATCTTTGATTCCCAAAGCTTTCTTTAAAATATGGTTTGTATTCAGCACATTAAACATTTTAGGCAGCATCGGGAATTTTAATAATCTCCCAGTATAGTATATATTTTCTGTAGATTTTTACGTTTGGTTTGATTGCAATGTCTCTGTTATATTTAATACGAATTATTAGAGTTCTGGCACTGTGTGATCCAGAATAAAAGCTGTTGATCACTTATACTGTAAATAACAACTTATTAGTTTCTTATTACAAAAGAAACTGCTAACTATCTGAGTCAACGAGAATTACCTTTGGAAATACCATTCATACGTATTAGAGGAAAAAATGGTGTTTTATATGGGTAGCCATGTTACCACAAAAAAAGCCCAACAGAACACCGAAGCTTTTTCTCCTGTAAATTAAAAGCATACTGAATTCTTAAAAAAAAAAGGCAGCTTATTAAACAGGCAAAAGAGAAAAAAACCCTTAGGAGTCTGACACTTCATACAAAAGTTTTTACAGGCATCACCATGCAAATATTGGAGGATGTGGTGTGGATGATATCAGTTTATCATGGTGACCTCATCAGTGCAGTCATTTACTACTGTATGCAAATACTTTTTCATTTTTTTCCGCTTTCAGTCACTGAAATGCCATATGTTAAGTTCTCAAATGAACAAGCTTAGTCTGGGCTTTATGTATTCCTTTAAAATATTAATGTTATCCGTGTAACAATAAGACAGGAACTGTCCAAATACAGGATGTACATAGAGGTGACCTGCTGTTTCAGTTGTAAATCTAACCAGTTTCACTTGTGTGTAAATCATGGGCTACTGTAAACATATCAAAGTAATCTTTTCATTTAATTTTATCAGTGTCATAGCAGCACAGACATTGTCATTAGTATTATTAAAAGCATGTTTATGTTTCTTTTTGACAGTAGTTCACAAGGAAAATTTTATAAAGGTAAAATTCAGACTGTACTGAAATACATGGCTAAGGTTTTGCAGTATTCAACATAATTATTAATTCCACAAGCTAGTCCAGTGAAGGAGGCACTGAAGGTGAATCTTTCAGATATGAGCAAGAAAAACAGCAGTTGAGGGTTTCCCTTGCCACAGTGTGCGTGGTGACACCCACCAGCAGGCAGCAGTCCTGACGATTGTCCGTGCAGTGGTTTGGTCAGTAAGGAGGGGTACAGCCCTCAATTCACTGCCTTGGCTCCCTGAGATCCCAGCTCCTTCAAGAGAATGGAGATGTGGTGCTGAGGACTGAGCAGGAGCCATCCATCTGTCTTCTGCAGCGCACTGGCCACTTTCCATTGAGCAGCTTCATTCCCACTGTGTCATTAGGATGAATTAGGTGGAAGTGGAATTGTTAATAATTTCAAAGCACTGCATAGACACTGTTGGGCAACCTATTCCCAGGATTATTTTTTTTAAAATAAAATTGTGTCCCTCTAAGGCCCCGCCTTTTGAATATGAGGCTGTTCAAAATTTTTTGCTGTTTTAATTAGTAGACTGAAAATACAAGTGTACACCTTTACTAAGCCTATGCAATTAGGCTGGAGATGAAGAAAACAGATCAGGAATCACCTTGAAATCTCAATCCCATTAAAATTTGTAATTGTTGCTTAATCAGTGTGATATTTCTGTGGAGTAAAGACGATGAGAAACCAATGAAGGAGAAGAGCAAAACTCAGAACAGCTCCCTGAAGGGAGGTAAATCTTGTGTATGTCAAGTGACAGGAGTATCCCATACTTAGCTTGTAATAAAAGAGCTGGATTCTGCTAGAACAGCAGCTCCTTCAGAGCAAGCAGTAAAAGATCGAAGCACGAGCAGTTATTCATACAACAGTTATAACATTCATAAAATGTAATTCTTTGTCATCAACACCAAGGTGGATCTACCTCACTGAAAAATATATGTTCCACTGACATTCTCTCTTTCTGTGTTAAATTGTTCTGCATTCTGCATGTTCTGTATTAGAACTGTTCTGGGCTAGAGGCCTCCAAGGTTGTTTTATGCCCATAAGGTTACTCAGAGTCTACCTGACGTCCCTGACATCCAATAGAAATATATTTGCTTCTGATGAACTTGGCAGAGAAATTAATCCAGTGACTTGTTAAATATTTCTTATCTTTAAATATTTGCTTTTTCTTAGCAGCTAGTTCCTTCTATGACATTTCAATTATTGGGTATTTCAACTTCTCCTTTAACTTGGGAAGGTCATTTTGTCCAACTCTATGGTATTCCACTTTATACATTTGCTTCAGTGGGTTTTCTTTTTTAATTACAGCCTTCACTTTTGAGAAAAAAAATAAATCAGGAATATGGGTCTGTGGAACTAAGAACACCTTTAAAGGGGAGGAAACTGCAAGTTCCTATTTTATCTCTTTAGCACTGATTTGACTTGAATAAACGAAAACATGATGTTGCTATTCCCCAGATGGAATTTAAAATTTAGTTTGGTACTGAATAGGATTGAAAACTTTCAAACTCTCACAAGCTATTAGAAATATTTAAGTACTTCTAATGTATTTTCCAGTTGGAATTTCAGTCAAATAGATAAAGTCTCACTAAGTAATAATTTTTTTCAAGAGTAAAAAGTCTCTTTGGAAATTGTGATGGCTCCATTTTTAAGGTACAATCAGAGAGGATGGTGAATTCCCATTTTTGATTCAATATTATCTCAACTTTCATCCACCCTTGTTTCATGTTCTCTTATGAGTGTGTTTGCCTGCAGGCAATGGTTACACTTAATAGATACATATTAGCTATGGTCACCTCAATAGCTGGAAGCTAACTCCTGAAACTCCTACTTAGATGTTCCATCTCTTTTTATCTTACATAAAAGCATGAGCAACAAATTCAAGATGTGGCCTAAAGATTACCTGAAGTTTAAAAGAGCACAGAGTCAACAAATTTCTCAGTAGCATTTCTTATCGGTAGAGATAGTGGTATTCTATATTAGTAGTGTCTAGAGTACTCCCAAAAGTTCTCTGAGCACATTTAACCAGAGTTAAACCAGTTTCTGTTGTTTTACCTTGTTCAGGTGCCAATAGCAGTTGCCATGCATAGAATTAGAGCTAATTGCTGCCTAGATTAAAGCAGCCAAACGTTAGCTCCTTTTCCCTGCTTTTAGTGATGCCAGCACACTAATTCTTTTGCGCTGCTTTTTAATCTGTCAAAAGGAGAATTGCCTAGAATCCAGAAGAAAATTAGTCATAGATTTAAAGGCAATTTTCTTCAAATTCCTCCTTCCAAAATACCATAATTACTGACTTCTTACAAACTCCTATCCTCCAAACACTGAATACCCCCTGCTCAGCGTGTTCAGTTCTTAGCAAACTGAGCAGGAGTTTGGGGGATTCAGCTTCTAGTACAGTGTATGTTTTCAAGACTCTTCAAGCCTCTTATTCTGCAAACTGATGTCCCCTCCAGCCTTTTCTGAGTTCGTTTGCTCGATCTGCTTGGAAACACCAAAGAGCTGGAAATGGCTGACTGATGCCACCCAGGTCTTGGTATCAGTCTCAGTAACTGTAGTCCATCTCAGGTCAGTAATCTCAGCCCACATTTACTGGCCAGTTGCATAAAAGCAGTATCACAGCAGGCACTAACAGGCAGCAGCATTCTTCTGGCTGACCACAGATGCCCTGGTAACACGCTGTACATCGGCATGGCTGGTGTGTACCAAGCCTTTGTCTGTCCTTCATCAGCCAGACCTGTCCAGCTCAGGTGGAGCTCATCTACACACCTTAATAAGCCTGTTGGAACGACAAGCTGACAAATAAGTCATGCCAGGCTTGCTAGCTCCAGCTTTTCAGCTGGTCTGCACCAAATAATGTTGATTTTGACCACTGCACTTGTCCTTAGGTCAAAGCTTAAATGCTACAAAAGCTAATCCCCATGGATTTACTGAACCATGGGGTGATTTAAACTCCTTTAAGCATAGAAACCAGAAAGTTCACTGAAACTCTGAAGTAATTTTCAAAATAAATTGAAAACATCATCGTCCTCTCCTGGTAATGTTTATGCAATAGGATATATATGACAGAAGGAAGCTTTTGTCAAAAACAGTAGAAAGCCTGAAGATGCAAAAATTACTGTTTAGGAAACCACCATTTATTTTAGCAGGAGATACCACAGAAAGCACACTGCTGAGACATGGAAATGTGGGTCCCACTGAGGGTAAGACAGAGAAATACTTCTTTTCCTTTGATTTTGTGAATTGGCCCATGGAAACTCTTCCCCCTTTTGAGAGCTGAGGGAATTCTTCTGGGAGTATGCTAACCAAAATGCAGGGAGCACTCGGTCTCCCTTTCACATCCCCAGACTTGATTATTAGTAATTACGTCCTCTACATGCTTTGGGATGGGACAAGGGCTTTAACCCTTAAGTGAAAGTTAATTCAGGAAGAGTGTTCATGACGATTGTTAGAGATGGAATAAAGCTCTACAATGGATTGCATCTGGCAGTTGGGAGTGCACAGCCCAGACTGAACTGAGTCACACATTGCTTATACAGAAAAGTAAGTGGAGGTAAAAATTGACATCAAAAATATGGTCTTGAATTTTATATTGCTGCTTCTCTGGGAGGGTCACAGTAGAAGTGGTGCATTACAATCAGCCCCTTACCCCTTCCCGGTGTTTATGGGTAAAAACAAAAAGAAAATCCAAAAGGCAGGCAGTGGAAGAAAATTCTTCAAACAACTGCAACACATGGTAAACTTAACTGGTGACAATTATTAATCTTCATGTTCTCCCTTCCCCTCAAGTTACTGCCACTGAATTTGCTTAACAGGGTTTGTATGATGTTATGTGTAGCATTAGGACTGAAATGATTAGCTGTGATTAGTACTGCTCAGACTGGGAAGGTGTATATCTTTCACCTGAGGGTATGTCAAATTTTGTACTTCTTTTGCAAAGTGCAAGTTGACAAGAGCTGCAGCAAAAAGGAAATAGCAGGGGAAGGCTCACATTAAAAGTAATTTTCCTTACATCATGGTGATAAAAGGATTAATTGAGGGTAAGAAGAAAGGATGCAAGTTAAGGTAACAGGTAGTATTAGGACCCAGGAAGACTGGCATTCACTGTGATCTGAGGATATCCAATGTTAGTATTTTACTGCTTTTTTTTTTGTCTTTTTTTTCTTTCTCTTTTTTCAAAAACTGTCTAGGACATGCTTCCATTTTCTGGCGGAGATTCTTACAAAAAGAGTTACCTTCTCGTGTAAATTGTATGTCATCTTATGGATTTCTGTACATCTCACTGCAGGTTATTATATGTCAGGTTTTCAATCATAATGGCTGGTAATTTGTTGTCAAAAAGCAAAACCACTTGTTCACTTGTTCCCGTTGACTTACTTAGACATTGCTCTGAGGACATTGCTCTTTGGACCGTCCACACCTTGGAAGTCGACTCACGATGTTTGGCGTTTTCTGTTGGCA